GGACAGGTGATGGACAGCTGGGTGTGCACAGCCTGGGACCCATCATGATGCCTGGCACCCCTGTGTCAGGGTGCTGTCCTCTGCCTCACTAGAGCTAGGTTTCAGTGTAAGTGTGAAAATACAGCTGGAATAGCCAGCTGGTGTGTGATGGAGAGAGATGCTGACATTCTTAGTGATGTTGATAATCAAACACCATCAACTGAGAAAGATAACAGCATATAAAACCTCATTGTTTGGTTCTTCAGGTCTTTCAAAATATATTCAACTTTAAAATTTCTAAATCTAATTTACATACCTAAAACCAAATATGCTCATAAAGATAGGCTTAGGCAATGAAATACAGAGGTTCTGCATGTTAGGGGCATCATGCTTAGGGAAACATATCCCAGCATCCACCAGGCTCAGGAAGGAGCTGAGTGATGCCCTGCAGCAAGTCCTGAGCAATTCCTTGAGACAAAGGAGACAGAAACTAAACCTCTGGGGAAATATCCTTTGGGAAAATGCCCTCTGAATGCAGATGGAATTTCACTTTTCTTTTATAATGCAAAGAAGAATTGTATAATGCATGATGATTAGTGAGGTGTGTGTAAGGACATCAGAGACATACAATCACTAAAAATAATGGTATTTGTGTTTTTCATAAAGAATAATTAATAGTAATTTGAGAAATTGTTGCTATGTAAAGAAATTTCACATATTCCAAATGCACAGGAAGCAACTTTTCTCTCATAAAATTTTGTTTATGCATCTATGAATATGTCAAAAGCCACCATTCTGTAAAATTATATTGTTCCCACAAAATGTAAAAAAGATCTAATACTTTGAAGTATTATTGATAGAAACCAAAATGTCACCAGTTGTTATAAAACATGGTACTCTAACTTTGTAAATCTCTATTTTATGGAAATATAATATTAATAATATATTTATTAACAAGCATGTATTTCTGAAAATATAAAAATTATTTAATTTTCTGGAATGAACCAGGAGTACCTTAGGACAATCTGGGATATAACAATTTTGCATGTGTTTCCTCACCTAGACAGGAGCAGACCCTCAGGACAGGGTGGGCACTGACATGAGCAGGGACAGAGCCCAGGTGTCCCTGTCTGTGACCTGCAATGCAGCCACAGGGGCTGGAAACCCAGGCAGGCTCCACGCTGCCTCTCCCCAGCAGCCAGGTGTCCTGGGGCTTCTCAGGCTCAGGGTCAGCTCATAGTGAGATGGGGTCAGTGTGGTTCTGGACACAGCATGTCTTCAGGGTTCTGAGGCCAGTGGCCGAGCTGACCTGCAGCTTCCACAGTTAATGCAGAGCTGACCACCCTCCCCCATGGGTCTTTGCCCAGGGATCCCTTTTCTCTCCAAGACCTTGCTCAGCTCACCCCTGTTCAAGGTCATACAAAGCTGCATGAGGAGGGGACCTCTGCCCTCAGAGCCCTGGTGTGGTGCCTGGGTGTCACAGAGCCCATCAAGAGGGATAGAGAGCTGACATACGCCAAAGTTCACTTTTTTTGATGGGGTTATAGGAATTGAACTCAGGGGCACTCACGGCCCCAGCCCCAGCCCTATTTTGTATTTTATTTAGAGACAGGGTCTCACTGAGTTGCTAGGTGCCTCACTGTTGCTGAGGCTGTCGTTGAATTGCGATTCTCCTGCCTCAGCCTCCTGAGCAGCTGGGATTAGAGGCGTGTGCTGCTGAGCCCCACCCAGGTTTACCCCTAATACACACATTTCTGAGGATTTAGACTGGTTTAGGGCTATCTGTCGGCATTCCTCAGCTCAGTTCTGTGTATGTTTGGGGACAGAGGACACCTTGTTGGGCCTGCTGATGGTGGCTTTAGAAGATCAGCTGCATCCATGGTTCCTACCACTTAGGTGGTGGCACAAAGGTCTCTTCATTCACATGTGACAAGACAAACTGTCCCCTGTCATTTCCAACAGTCTCTTGTGGCTGGATACCTTCAGGTACAATGTGGACTTCAATACCTGTGTGCCTGACTACCCACCTCACCTGTGCCAGGTGTGAGCCATGGGCTCCAGCAGCCAGGGCTTCACATGGCCTGAACTGAGGTCACATGTCCATGCACTGACTGTCAGCCTCACATGAGGCTGTGCCCTGCATTACTGCTGTGATCAAGATTGTGTGGCTCCAACATCTCCTCCCTCAGCTATGACCCACCTTGCTGCAGAACTTTCCTCCGCAGCCTCCTTCTCACTTCAGATGATTTCTCCCCCAGTTCACGGATGACGGACATGGATGACCAATCACCACTGCAGCCATGGCCAGGATTGCTGTGAGTTCCACTTGAAAACTGTCCCTGTTAACTCACCTGCTTTCTCTCTAAGGCCTATTCCAGTTTTCCCATTGGAAACCCAGAGAGCAGTGGAGCAGAACTCTTGGGACCAATGCAAACAGCACAGTCACAATACAATGCACAGACCTTGCAGGGAAGGTGACCTCCATCCCTGGTCAGAAGAACATTTGTTCACAGGATGAGACAGAAACAAGAGGATGGGTGGAGGGAAACTCTGGGAATGGGGCCCTGGGTGGGAAATTCCTTCCCAGGAAGCTCATATCTGTGGAAAATTACAAAAACAGAACAACTTTGATTTTGAATTTGACCTGGATCCCAGGCTGAGGAGTTCTGACTTGGCCTCCAGAGATGGGACCCTTTTGCTGTAGAAGTCTGGATCAGGGCAAGGTTAACATTCTTTTCCATGTTCCTGTGATGCTGCTTCAGACACACAGATGTGGCTCCCCCTCTGTGTGCACAGCAAATAAGGAGAAGGAGTCACACAATATTTAAAATTTCTTAGCCTCATTGGGAGAGTCAGCTAGGATCAGAAATTAAGGTTGAAATTTGGGAATATGATAAACCTACTAAGAACATGGACTCACAGTAGAGATAAAGAATATTATTTATTGATAGTGGCATTTGAAAATTAAATGCACAGAGAGAACTTTTCCTGATTTCAAAGATTAACCATAACTTTTTCAAACAAATGATCCCCAGGACATTTCTTCACCTTTCTGGGAGCAGAACTTCCCTCAATGCCCCTGAACTCTTTCCGGCTCCTGAGGTCTCTCCTTACACGTCATGAGCCCCCTGATGGCCTTGAGCCTCCAGGTGGACCTAAGATCATGAGCTTTCCCTGGTTGTCCTGACCCAATGTGGGTCCAGAGTCCCTGCTTGTACTGAGCTCCACTGTCCTGAGACCCCCCAAGCTGGTCCTCAGGTCCCTGCTGGTCCTCAGGTCCCTGCTGGTCCTCAGGTCCCTGCTGCTCCTCAGCCCCCTGCTGGTCCTCAGGTCCCTGCTGCTCCTCAGCCCCCTGCTGCTCCTCAGCTCCCTGCTGCTCCTCAGGTCCCTGCTGGTCCTCAGGTCCCTGCTGCTCCTCAGCCCCCTGCTGGTCCTCAGTGCCCCCTTCAGGCAGGGAAGCCAACAGAGGGCAACACCTGGGTCTCAGAGAGGACATGATGCAGGTCCTCACCTGCAGGAGGACCCTCCCCAGGCACCACGGTGGTCTCTGCACAGGAACAGGCTTGGGCATTAGCAGATCCAGTTTGGCTGCATGCTGTGGCTGCCCAGAGCCCTGAACCCTCTCCCCCCACAGTGGCCCCATAGGGGCACCGCTCCTCCACAGAAAATCTTATTAATCTTCCCCAGAAATGTGCACCATAATTGATCTTAGGACTATCAGCACAAGAATCTCCAAAACAAGTTCAGTGTAGGTAAACTTCTTTTTTACTGTTGCTCTATCCTACTTGGCCTGGAAGTCATCAGCACCTGTGTCCACAGGTGCTGGACACCCCTTTGCTGGTTTTTCACAAACACTTATGGACTATCTCAGATAAATAACAACACATGCAATAGTTTGTAGAAGTGTGCTCGCAATTTCAGAGTGTGACAAGAAAAGATTTTTTAAGGTGGCCTCTGGCCTTGGGCCTGAGCTTCACAGAGAGGTTTACATTTCAAAGATAAGAGATGACTAACTGGGCTCCATGGTAGCAGCTCCCTGGTTTAGGCTGAAACAGCCTGAACTCAGAGTTCAGGGGCACTGACTGAATACAGTGAAATATGTGCCCTCTGAGCCTGGCTAGCGCCAAGGAAACCTGCTTCCTGTTACTATCTGTCTTGCCTCCTCTGTCCCTGCAACATCCCGAGGACTTGATGGAGCACTGCATTAAGTGTCAGTCCTGCTGGGCTTCAGTCCCCTTCACCTTCTCTGTCTCTTCCTTTTTCAAATGGGAATATTCACCCCTGCCATGGGACTTGGGAGTATGGAATCCCTCTTTGATCTTAAGGGTTCAGTAGAGATTTCCTTGAATCTTTGAAGTCTCTGCACTGAACTTCTGAGCTCTGTTGGAGCATTTACGAATTTAGGGATTCAAGGGTGAAGAGTGAAGTGTTCTGCATTATGAGATGGATGTGAAAGCTTTGTGTTCAGGGATAGAATGATTAGGTGTGCATAATTATCCTCCCAGATTCCATTTGCTAAGGTTGTTCTGAAGCCCCTTGAGCTATGGGGGAGTAGGGGATCCCATAGGACATGGGGACACGCCCTGCAAGGGTGTAGTCAGACCTGTCTCTTCCTCCCTCCCTTTTGATTCCTAGCAGTGAGGTGAGTGCTTCCCCACAGGGGGCTCCCTGCATTGCCCCTTGCACAGCCAGGAAAGGTGTAAATACAATGGACTCATCTGAACATGGTCTGGAGCATTTGAGGTCAGGAGCCAAAATAAATCTGCCTCTTTAGGTGTTGGTGGTCTCAAGTGTTTCCTTTAGAAATGCAAAGTGAGGGGCACCGTGTTCAGGGAAAGTGATCCCAGCTTCCACCAGGGCTCAGGAAGGAGCTGAGGGAGGCCCCCAGAGCAAGTGCTGAGGGTTCAGTGAGGCACAGGAGACAGAAACTAACCCAATGGGAAAATGAGCCATGGGAAAAAGTCTATGTGTATCACATTAAATAACACTTTTGCTCACTAGTGAGAAAAGTATTGCATAAAATATGATGATTAGTTAGGTATATATAAGCTCATCAGAGACATAAAGCAAAGGAAAATCATTTTATTTGTATTTGGTATGAAGAAAAATAGATGATAATTTGAGAAGATGATGACAGGTAGAGACATTTCTTATAGAAAATACAGGCAGGAAGAAATGACTGATCAATACATTTTGTTTATGCATCTATAAATATTCCAAAATAAACCACATAATTATGTTTACTTAAAAAACTTGAATGAAATATTAAAAATGTGAAAGTATTATAGATTGAAACAGTAGTGGCCTGCATTGATATAAAATATAAAACTCTAACTTAGTGACTTATGAGGTTCATGTACAAAATCAGTGTTATAACGCTCAATCACCATCTTTTAGAAATTCCAAAAAGGGATATAACCTTCTGGAATGAACCAGGAGTATCTTAGACAATCTGCAATAGGAAAATTGCTGCTGCTCTTCCTCACCCAGACTGGAGCTGGACTCTCAGCCCAGGTTGGGAACTGATGTGAGCGGGAAATGAGCCCAGGTGTCCCTGTCTGTGATCCTGAAACCCAGCCACGGTGGCCGGAAACCCAGGCAGGCTCCGAGCTCCCTCTCCCCAGCAGCCAGCTGTCCTGGGGCTTCTCAGCCTCAAGGTCACCTCATAGAGCTGGGGTCAGAGTGGTCCTGGGCACAGTATTTCTTTTGGGGCCTGAGGCCAGTGGCAGAGCTGACCTGCAGCTCCCACAGCCCATGCAGAGCTGACCATCCTTCCTCCTGGGTCTTTGCCAGGGAGCCCCTTTCTCTCCAAGACCTTCCTCCCCCCTGTTTACAGCCACACACAGCTTGGAGCCCTGAGTGTGGGGTGTGGGTGTCACAGAGCCTCATCATGAGGGACAGATAGCTCACATACACCAAGGTTCACTCTGAATATGCATATTTCTGTGCATTTTGTCCAGGTTCAGGGCTTTCTGTCACTGCTTCTCAGTTCAGTCTGTAGACATTTGGTTCAGATAATTCCTTGCTATGGGTGGTGTTGTGTGATGACTGGAGGTTTGGCAGCTACAATGGTGTCTAACAACTGGCTGCCTTACAAAATCCCTTTCCTAACATAAGAGAAAATAAAACTGACTCCAGATATTGTCAATGGTCTCCAGGGGTGGAAGGTTCTGGGCACTATGTGGGCTCAATTGTCTAGTGTGTTCTATGACCTGAGGCTTGACAGGAAGCATGCTGAGCAGATTGGGAATGGGAAAGAGTCATAGGAAGAGGACTCAGGACCCCAGTGAGCATTCAGGGGATGAGACATGGTATCAAATATTTACAGAGTTCACCTGGGCGAGGTGGAGCTCACCTGTAACCTCCAGTACTCAGGATGCTGAGGTAGGAGGACAACTAGTTCAAGGCCAGCCTGAACTTCTTAGGGAGACTCTGTCTTAAATTAAGACACAAAGAGGGATGGGAAGGAGCTCAGGGGTAGGGCCCTCTTGTATCCATCCCTGGTACTGAACAGATAAGCTTCACATTAAAAATACCAGGCAGGAAATACCACTAAAAATTAATGTTCATCAGGAAAAATTGTTGAGTAGCCTGTGCTGACTAAGGGAATTACAGACAAGCCTGATCTGGAGAAGGAAAAGGCTCTGAGATCCTGAGAAAAGAAAGATCTACAGAATCTCCATGCAAGGTGCAGTCAGGGCAGGTGCTAATTGGGCAGGTACCTCAGGGTCTGAGGTGACAGCTCTCTCCTCCCTCAGCACCTGCTCCTGTGCTGACCCTGAGCTCCTGTGTGCTGAGCGCCCCCTGCTGGCCCTGGGTGCCCTGCAGGAGGTTTGTGTCTGGGCTCACACTGAGGTCCCCGCACTGTGGCTCTGGCACAGTAATAGGTGGCCGTGTCCTCAGTGGTCAGGGAGCTCAGCTGCAGGGAGAACTGGTTCTTGGATGTGTCTCTGGAGATGGACACTCGGCTCTTGAGGGATGGGTTGTAGTAAGTATCACCATCATACCATATGTTCCCTATCCACTCCAGCCCCTTCCCTGGGGGCTGACGGATCCAGTTCCAGCCATAACCACTGGTTGTAATGGAGAATCCAGAGACAGCACAGGTGAGGGACAGGGTCTGCGAGGGTTTCACCAGGCCAGGTCCTGACTCCTTCAGCTGCACCTGGCACAGGACACCTGGGGACAAGGACAGCCACACCCTGTTAGTCACCTGTAGTCACAACCTCCCCATGGACCCAGGTCTGACACTGGGGACACTCACCTTGGGGAGCTGTGACCAGGCACAGGACAAGACCCAGCAGCCTCATCTTCTAGACCACACCTGCCTTCCCAGAGACCTCAGCCCTGTCTGAGCAGAGAGCTGGGAGCTCCCACAGCCCAGAGGGCCTTTGAACCC